AGCAGCTCAGGGTGACAATCAATTTCTTTCTAAAAGCTTGCTTTTTTTCCATCCACCTCGCTCAGTGTATGTGAGTTGTTTGCCGCCTTTCATGTTCATCGTTGAGATACACAAAGCAAAAGAAGATCGGCGGCATAGTCCAAGGGGTTTTTGTTATTATGTATTATTATTATTATTATTATGTTACGTATTATTTTAGGAACAGACAATCATCTCGTCATTCCACAACGAAATACAATTAAGTGAACTTCACGCATTGCCGCCAAACTCTCAGTGAATGCAAGGTTAGTAGTAATATTTAAGGTGGACAGGGATTGGACTTATGTTGAGGGAGGGGGAAGAAGGCCAACCTCTATGATCAATACACACAGAGAGTGCACAATCGAGCTCTGTATGCATACCGTTCCGAGTATTCTGGTTTGATAATAAGTGACTACATAAACGCACTGCTGTCGGTTTGCTGCTTCAATGTCTCCAATCAACTAGTTGTCGAGTCTGATGGACCTCAATCTGACATCTATTCTACCTAATCGCTCTGTGCATTTCCTCATGCCTTGTCTTCACGTCATCTTTTGATCTCCACATTGTTTCTTCCAGCCCGGTGCGGCTACAGCGAATAAAGTGCGGTGCGGCAGACGACAGCTAGGCATACGCAATACGTTCCCTAGCAAGCGAAGACTATTAATCTGAATTCAATGACCTAGCAAGTTTATCCCAGATATTCTCCTAAACACACGACGGCTTACCTCCAGCAAATTCGTTCCTTTCTGTTCTTTTGAGTCTGTACGAAAACTGTTTTGCTTGTAGGTGCTAGGCTGGCTTCTCTCCCACGGCTTGACAGAGACGGTGATCGCCCTCAACTCACCACACTTTGAAGCTTATCTACGCTCGCGTTTAAGACACACCCCAGACGACCCGGATTTGCGTTGTCTACTCTGGCGTCAACTGGAGCATCGCGGTGCGCGACTGGAAGCGGCCCAAGTATTGGAGCATTTGGCCGTCACCCCGTGTCGCCAACTAACCCTGGACGATCGGCTCGATTTTGCCGCACGCGCTGTGGTCGCTGTCAAAGCTTTACCACGTAAGTTGTGCACTTTCTGTTCACATGTCGTCCTTGAATGTGATTAATCAGAAAGAAAGTAACCACCTATCTAGCATATAGAATATCATGTCGAAAGAGCCGCGCCCGGAGACATCACTTCATTTGATGGACACCGACAGACCACGTTGACATTCGTGGTTCACACCATACGTATATGACCATACGCATATGACAACCGTGTCTTCGTTTTACCTGTAGCCGCTTTGTGCTCATCCCCCCCTGAATTTCTTCGAACCAGAGTACTTTTTCTTGTCTGAGTAGACTTGAAGTTCAGTTTCAGTCTTGAGCTGTCTTTTTATCCAC